CACTTGAAGTACTAAAAATTTAATGTCTGCGTAACTTGTGCAACTTTTCTGTTTCCTGTTCAGTGACAAGCCATGGCAGTTTTCGCTGTGATTCCTATTGTTAAGCCCGAGTTTTCCGAAATCTGCGGAAATACGGCGCCGTAGATGTTTCTGCCGATTTTCAAAAATTTTTCCAAACCATGCCGCACTAAGAAAAGTGTCTCTTTGACAGATTTTGACCACAATTTAAACAGACCCTCGCAAAACGACAAGCCTACATTGGTTTTATTTACAAGAGTAAATCTCCCGTCAAACTTTAAATTCTTGAAACGTTTTCAAGGGAATCATAACATCGACTGTAGCTCTGTATGAAACATTGCACCATTGCCAGATGAATAATTCTTTTAATGTTTTTTTTTTTCAATTTTCAGCCTTCACTTTGGAGAAGGGTCCATGGCAAATTGATCCCGGGATGGGAAGAGGTTGACGCGTGTGAATTTTACAGTAAGGCGCGTAAGGTTAGGTGACATTTGACATTTTTTTTTTCAAGTTTTATGTACACGTGACGGGTGAAATTGTGTAAAATCCACAATGAAACGGGATCAGGACACCCTTTTGCTATCCTCTGAAAGCACTCATGTTTTGGTGATAGAGACAGTTATAGGAATTACGTCATGAGTAGTCTCTTGCTTTCCCGTCGGTCAGTTACGTCACGCAGGACTTCTCATGTTGACTGACGACACTGAACAAAGCTTACAAAATAGACTAAGGCAAAAAAATAGTCAGCTTGAAAGGAGAAGGACTAAGGATGTCTCAGGATGAAAAAAATTAAAAAATTATAACTGATATTCAATGTGACTAATTTATTCTATATCTTTTAGATAAGACAACGTGGTACATCCGCTCTAATTACAAAAAAATTTATTCCAAGTTAAACAACTAAACAAAGATTGCTCAACCCTAGAGCTCTCAAGGAGAAATGATTCTCAGAGTTGGTAAACATAATTTCCTATATATTCATAGAAAAAAACGCCCATAGTTTCCTATTTCCATCGTAAACACTCTCTAAGCAAATACATATTAAGACGCGTATTATCTCAGCTTGCAATTTGTATAATATATGCGCTCTAATTAGAAAATATTTTATTCCAAGGTTAGATAACTTGACAAAAATTGCTCAACCCAAGAGTGCTCAAGGAGAAATGATTCTCAGAGTTGGTAAACATGATTTCCTAAGTATTCATAGAAAAAAAAACCGCCCACTGTTTCCTTTTTCAGCTTTTCTCCACCGTGAACACAGTCTAAGTAAAAACATATCAAGACAACGTATTATCTCAGCTTGCAGTTTTTAAAATAATCTGTCTTTAAATTGCATTGATAAAGCTGCAAATGCGATTGGCCCTCGTTGTTCAGAGTCGGATCTTTCTATCTATCTTTTTTATCAATCTTATCCATCATTTAGTTAAGACAACGTGATATATCCGCTCTAATTATAAAAGATTTTACTCCAAGGTTAAACGACTAAACAAAGATTGCTCAACCCTCGCTGTTCAGAGTGCCACAGGAAAAGTAAAAAACTCAAACTCTTAAACCCGTTTTAAATAGTAAAGCTTCTATAAACATTTTCATTCTTATGACCAGTCTAACTAGATAATACAAAGTTTGGTTAAAATTTGGAATCGACCATCCGGTTAAAACAAGGAGATTCAAGTTCAGTATCCAATGTTACTTACTTTATGTAAAGAACTCGATTTTCGCTCCAATTGGCCAAGATCTAAGCAAAGTTGAGAGATAAAAGAAATATTGAATTTAAAAGAGAGAATAAGACAGAGAATATGGTAGAGTGAAATAAACAGAGAAAAACTTTGATAGAATGGAGTGTATATAGCCAATTTTAAGAAAAATGGAATGCAAGCTGTTTAAATTTTTTTTTCTAAACATGACCAAATTTATTAATTGAAGCCTAAGGCTAGGATTGACACAAGAGTTAATACGTTAAATTAAGAGGAGTGTTCAATAGGGGTTATATCATTCTGATTGGATGAGGCGACATAAACGACAAGTTAAAATCGAGAGCCTGCCTGGCATAATATGAGGATATTTCGCTCACAATTACATCGAACGTTATACTTACTTTTGTTGGTTGCGTTTTGTTAATAACGGTATCTTTGGCGAGCACAAACGTCGCCGTGTGTGAGACCCAAAAGAAGAAACACAATGGCTTCACCAGAACAACAACTCAACGCGATGGCGAAAGAAATGCAGTCGAGAAGCACAGTTACAATCGTCTTAGAGTCATTGGTTTTTGCCTTGATTTTATTATTGATCTTCGTTGGAAACGCTGCCACTCTGCTGATTATCGCGTTTAACAGCAGAATGAGAACAACAACGAATATGTTCGTTGCATCACTGGCTTTTTCTGATTTTCTTTTGGGAGTGCTTTCAGCGGGTCCTGTCGCTTATCCTGCGCTACTGCTGTCCGAATGGCCTTTTGATGATGCAACATGTCAGTATCAAGGCTATATCGCTGTAACCTTGGCCGTTGCGTCGACACAAACGTTAGCCCTTATGGCAGTGAACCGATATTTTCGTATTGTCAGACCAGCAAAGTACCAAGCCTACTTCACCATGAAGAAAACCCTTATCATGATTCTTGTTTCCTGGTTTTATTGCATGTGGGCTCCATTGCCATATCTGCTTAGTGGTTACAAGATGGTGTTTCACCCTTTCAAATTCTTTTGCTTTCTCCAGATCGACAGCGGACCGTTCACAGCGTTTTTAGTCACTGTGTACGTTGGTTTGCCGACTTTCATCATAGCCTTCTGTTACCTAAGAATATTCCAAACTGTTCGAAGCCACAGTAATAATTTTCAAGCTGCAAGTGGGTCAAACAATACAGTTAACGTAGAGGAAATCAGGATAACGCGCACACTATTCGTTATTGTTGTCTTCTTTAATCTCTGCTGGACTCCTATTCTGGTGATAGACATGGTTGACACCGTTCAAGGGAGGTGGTCGTTACCTCGTGAAGCTTACGTAGCGTACAACTTTTTAGCTGTGCTTAGTAGCGCTCTTAACCCTGTCATATATGGTGTAATGAATAAGAACTTTCAACAAGAGTATCTGAAGATTCTCCGGTGCAGATATTGTCGCTCACAACCAGTTGTAGAGCCATTGAACTAAGGCGAAAGAGCCACTGGTTTAGTTGCGACAGCCACTTGAACTATGCCGGAGTCATTTTTCTGGCGGCGGGAAATATTTCCTTAATTTAAAGGAGATTACAAGATGTAAGCTAAGTAGGACAAAGAAAAATAAATGCGGTAAAGTAGATTGAATGGGAACAAAAATGGTTGAGGGTGGAAAAGACGAATTTGAAAAGATGAACTTGAGCGGATTTAATTCAGAGAAGCTCGCCGGGCGATCTGTCAGAGCTGATTGTGGGCGTTATGCGAGTATACGTTTTTGGGGAATCACTTCTCAAGATAAAAAAAAAAATGCAACAAAAAATAATCCTTACATCTGCAGGGCGTTGCGCAGGCAAATGAAAATTAACTTTGATAATCACGTCATAAAGAGACCTTCGATGTGAAAAAAGACATCTGTTCAACAGCGCATTGCACCTGCCTATGGTCCAATTATCATATGTATTCTCAGTTAGATATTGACTTTTGCAGTATGGGCGACCTTATACATATCAACCCTTACACCTAAAAATCAGTGTTCATATTCTACATACTATTCTTTATATATTTCCTATGGTGCTGACAAGGAGAACTTGTTTACCATTCAAGAGCTTCTTTAGTTGGTAACTATTTCCTTTATTCTCCTGACCTTCAAGTTTGTTTCAGGGATGACATTGTCAGGAGAGATTAGATGCTAGTCACTTTTAGGGGCGAAAAATTAAAGAAGAAAGCTCAGCAATCTTGCATGATTTTAAACAGAGCCTCTATAAAGAGAAATACTGAGAGCACCAATGCTTAGGATTAATTCTAGATAGGAACAAAAACGAAAAGAACAACAGATGGACTTAAGTTCGTGTATCTATTCCGTAAAGTTGACGCATAGCGAGTTGTAGATAGACTGACAGCTGTCGAGAAAATTTTACTAACGGCCACGTCAGGTAAAGGATTGAAAGTTTGCACAAGTTTGACCTACTTGCGAACTCGCCTCGCAAAGTGAGGCAACGACATAAATCTGTAGTCAAATCTCAGTCGTTGTATGTGCAGATTTATGATACATATCTAGCCTTCAAAACTTGTTTAAGAAGCATGGTCGGCCAATTTTGACCCATTTTGGTCCATTTCCCACCATATGAACAGGACGCTATTAAAGTCCAGCCCCTTGCCAAATGATAAACATTTAGCTAACATTTTTTAAAAGGTAAATTCGTCGCCTTTTGCTCAATATAAGGGATATCGGCAAATTAAAATTAGAAAATAGTCATTTAGTGCACTTTTTATCTATTTTCTTTAACCTCTTTGTCTCCATTCAGACCAATAATGCAACAGTTATCAAGATTTTTCTATTTTGAGTTACTCAGTTCAAAAAAGAGTTTGCAAAAAACTTGCCGGAGTACTGTTCTCCTTCTCTTTCCACATTCTGTTCGGCATAAACTATCATTTCCTTTACTGATCTCTCTCTTGCTCAAATTTCGTTGTCCTGAACTGTTGTCTATAAATAAATACATGCGTGCCACAACCCTGAATTACTCCTTTAAAATTTAGAAAATATGACCATACCTTTATGAATCAAAGTCAATTGTCAATTCTTAAAAACTCTTTTGCGAAGAGTTGTTCAATGAATTAACATTATTAATTATTCTAATCTTCATCCGTCGGTTAAAGAAAAATTATTTGGGTTGTTTACTTCCTCTTCGATTATGAACAAAGCTCTCTAATGTAGATTCCATTTTACATATATGCGCTATTACAATTATAAATTGAAATATTTACAGCTAACTTCAAAATCGATCAATTACTCTCTCGCGCTTCGTAGAAAAAACTGAGCATTAGAGCGATCTTTTAGCAAGTGGCAGATGTCGGTTTGATCTCCTTTCGTCTTTCCATTAGTACAGATGGCTCAACGGTCGGTTGCTTGCGGCAGTGTCTACATCGAAATAATTGCAGATACTCCCTTCGAAAATTGTTGTTAAGTAAACCGTATATGATAGGGTTTAGAGCACTGCTAACTGTAGCTAAGAAGCTGTATGCTACGTACGTTTCTCGAGGGAATGTCCACTTCCCATCTATTGTGTCAACAATGTCTATCAACATTACAGGGATCCAGCAAAGATTGAAAAACACTACAATGATAAAAAGTAAACGAGCTGTCTTAATCTCTTCCACGTTTAGTTGGTTACCTCCAAATACAGTGCTATGGACATTATTGGTATGGCTTCGTACAGTCTGAAATATTTTCAGGTAACAGTACATTATAACGAGAGTTGGAGGTCCAACGTAAACAGTCACCATAAATGCCGTGAATGGTCCACTATCGATCTGTAGATAACAGAAGAACTTGAATGGATGAAACACCATCTTGTGACCACTTAGGATGTACGGCAAAGGAGCCCAAACGGAATAGAACCACGACAAGCCAATCATGATGACAGTTTTCTTCTTGGTAAAGTACCTGCGGTACTTCTCTGAGCGGACTACTCGATAATATCGGTTCACTGCCATCAAGGCCAATGTTTGCATCGATGTAAGGGCCAAAACGATAACAGTGTATCCGTGATACTGACAAGTCGTGTCACTGAAAGGATACTTGGACAACACAAGGGTTGGAAAACCAATGGGAACTGTTGCTAAAATTCCTAACAAGAGGTCCGATATGGCGAGTGATGCAACGAACAGATTCGGAATAGTTCGCATGCGACTCTTTAATGCAACAACTACGAGGGTCGCTGAGTTACCAACTACCAAAAGGAACAAAATGAGCGCGTAGAGTCCTGCCTCTAGGACAATTCTGATCTTGCTCCTCGAGTTGAGCTCCTCTAGCATTTCTGCCAATTGAATATCTGACGTCTTCATGATTTCGATTCAGAGTCCGGGAATTGATTCTTTACAGATTCAGATCCATGCAGCTGTAAAACCGACAAAGGCGGCTCATCAGTGCAATTAAGACACGACCGGTGCTATATTTACGTTCCAAATACAGTGATGTCAAATTTGACGAATCATTTCGCATGGATCATCAATCATGTTGTTCTGTCCAATAGGAAACAGTCAGAAAAAGATCGGCAGGTGTGTTTTTCTCGTTAAATTAAATGATTGTTTTGGTGTTTCTGTTTACTCTAGAGCTCTTCGCTTTTTCGCTGACACTGAGTGAATAAAGAATGGCCTCACTAAAATTATGTTAGTAACCCTGTTTACAATAAAATTGGACGATTAGGTGACCAATTCCGAAAACACCTTCGCGACGTAGAAAGAAATGACAAGGACGCATCCAAACCAGTCGCTAGACACTTTAATCTCCCTGATCATTTTAAACAACATATGGCAGTTTGCGGCCTTTCATTTGATCTAGGCAGTTCGGAAAGCCGCAAAACACTAGAACAAAACTATATCTTCCAAATCGGCTCTCTTAATCCCCACAGTATCAACAAGCGCTTTTCATTTAACTAATTTATTTTTGTTTTCTTGTCACCATATTCAAACCCAGTAGCGTAGCTCCATTTTCTGCATATAAACCCACACACATCTCACAATTCCTCCAATCACTCTGACGAAGGGCTAACGCTCGAAACATCAGCCTTTTTACTCTTTACGGTGGCCAATTTACGTTTTCAACTTAGTTGTTAACACTAAATTACCTGCCATACTCTCCCACCGACGCAGCACCACAGTTTCTTTAGAAACTTACTCTCTTTATACAATTAAGTTTGCTTGGCTCAATTTTTTTCTCCGCGAGCACGCCTATGGTGATTACCTTGATAGTAGTAGTTAACTAGGTCTCACTGTGCATTGCAGCTCATCAGCTGGCTCAGGTTTTTTTCTTTCCGCTATTACATTAATTGCTTATAATTGTTATTAGTTGTGTGAAGAGTGCGCGTAAATCATTTATAACATGTAGCATATTCGCCCCAAGTCTAATTTCGCTTTTTCGATTGTTTCCGTCGAATTTCGGTGGTTTTGTTTTCCACTTTCCAGACTTATACAATCTTGCCGAGTTTTAACATTTAAAAAGCTTAATCCTCAAATTTCTAATTATAAATATGATGAATCGTTGCGTAAATGACAGAAGAGAGGCACAAGAAAATTACTTTCTAATCAAGTATTCCGTGCAATGGATCTTTTATATAAGACAGTGCGATATTATCCATAATATGGAGGAACAAGAAGTGGTAGGTTACCAATCTTTATACATGAACATTTTAGGATTAAGTTTACTGACTTATGCCTTGCATACCACTAATTTCACAAATCAAAACTGTTTTGCTGGACTATATGTACAAAAACTTTCCGTAATTTTGATTATGGGCTGTGGTGACAAAAGCATGCACGGTATGGAAAGTACTAGTTGTGAATGAAAACAAATGAAACTGTGCTCAGCCCTTATAGTCCTAACGAATAGAGTCGATGTCAGCAAGAATAACAAACATTATTTCAAACTTCATCTTTGCTTCTGACACTAGGTTAGTCTTAGTCCAGATACATGCCAGGTCCCATATGAATATGCAATTATCTTTTATGTCACTGCTGTTTCGACAAAATTGATGTTTCTAAGCCCTCGCTCTTCTTTAAAATTTGAATAATGCTTCCGCCATGATGAAGCCTTTCGTCAACGTCCTTTTGGCCACCTGCCCCATATTTCACGTTTGTGGGCCAATCACAAACGTTCAGGTCAGGGTTGAACAGGAGTCCCTCTGGACAATGCTTCCAATAGGTGATGCCATTGGTACATTGATAGAAGTTGCTGAAATCGTTTGGGTCAACATATAAACCGTCGGCTTTTCCATTGCAAAACTTCTCATCTGGTTCTAGGTGGCAAAGAATAGCAATGCAATTTATCACTATGATGAGAGAACTTGAGGAATGAAACGTAAATCTTTTTTATCTTAAGAATGGCTATAAAAGTGCGCAATAAACACCTTTAAAAAATCTTATCATTGTCATCATATTAAATGGAAAGGTATACATCTTTACATAACTTCCAAGAAAAAATAAAAAGGTGTGTTAACTGAAAATTAAGGCAATAACAAAATATGCCCTTTAGCTAAAATTGTCCCACTGTTTAGAATGGGACCGGAAAGTAGAAAGGCCATCTAACAGACCAGTGCTTTTATCTGAACCTCTCGCCTCCACACGATAAAAATTACGAAAAAACCAAAAGGAGGACTGCATAGAGCCAGCGACAAATGATGGGGATTTCCACTTGGATTCAACTTTGAGTGGAAAAATTCAGAGCAGCATGGTCGACAGCTTACTGGTCATATCTTGGAGGAAAGAAGGGATCTATTAAAGAAAGTCACACTGATCAATGCCTACCTCCAGGAGGTTTGGAAGTAGGTGATGGTGAGGGTTTATTATTTCCCCCAGCCGTTGTCAAAGGCGCTGAACTGCCACCTGCGGATGACCCTCCTGCCGAGGTTGGTACCTTAGATGTTGGCAGAGGTTGACCACCAGACGGACTTGTACTTGCAGCCGGGGTAGGCTTAGTACCTCCCGCCGTTCCTGAAGCCTGTGCATTCGTTGGACCGATAGCTATAGATGTATAGGTAAAGTCAATTTTAAGTCAGTAAACTTATCCCGGTTTTTTTGTGGCATTAAAAAATTAGGAGTATTTTCATTAGATAATAGTCGATATCAGTGGCTATCATTTAATGCAGCTAGATATAATAATCAAGACACTAGCGATGAGCCAGTATGACCAGGAGCTGTTGTTCAATATCCTTCCCTACCCCCTCCTCCTCCTTAGACCCATCTCAGTAGCCTGTAACTGAACTGAACTTTTTGATCGATACATTACTACGCAGAAAAGATAAATGTGTGACTAAAACTTTGGTAACGACATGTCACCATAATCAGACGGTTGTTGAAACAACAGTGTATAATGATGGTGTGGAAACATAGAAGAGAATGCACTTTACAATATGAACAGACTCTCTTTGGTGTTAAAAAAAAAAAAAAAAGTCGGCTCCTGCTCTTTATTGAAAGCATTTTTAAGATGAGACGATCAAACTCCCCTCGGCATTTCTTGCAGATGTAAAACTGATTGCACAAATTGGTGCCTCTGATCATGTTATCCATTGAGGTGTTTTTTAATTACAGATAAGTTGACTCTGCCGGCTCAAATAGACTCCGCTCCAGCGAAACTCTTCTTTTAATACGTTAAATGTTTTTTTTTTTTTCCCACACCTTCGTTATTTTTTATTTAATGATGTAGATCAAGGGATGACTTGTCGTCACCAAACAATGTTGTTTAAGTATCTTGGATCAATATCAGTATCTGGGCAACTGCTCACCTACCCCTCCCCTAACTCAACAACAGTCAATTGACAACAAGTTAAGGTTAATGTTGAGTTAGGGGAGGGGTAAGTGGGCAGTTGCCCAGATACTGATATTGATCCAGTATCTTAAACGTTTTACCCATTCTCTCATTACGTTACATCGAAGCCAAGTTAGATTTAAATATATGTGGTATGGGATTCTTTTCATTTACTGACGTTGTTCACTTTTTCCGTCTTGTCCGTAGCATTTTATGCTCTCTGGATTGCTGTCTACAACAGATATGAAAGGCAGAAGATGCATATTATTGTTGCTGCGGTTCTAAGTTTTATCCTTTAATTTCAATTTCAAAGGAGGGCACTCAGCTTGAACTGAGTTGGTTTGGTTCGTCATGGAACCCCATTCTGGCCAGGGTGGCTCGTACCAAAGTATCAGCTTTCTCCTCACCCAGTTCCCCTCGGGCCACCAGAAAGGCTGACATCTCTGGCTACTTAGTTGTGGGAAGCAATCGTCGTTACTTGCCCGGCATTCCCCCCTTCCAAACTGGTCACTACATACTGAAACGACGAGAGGGTAAAGGCTGCAACTAACAGCCACAAGAATTGATCAAGCTAGAGGATTTGTTTTCTTTCATAGGATGTCCCCCTAAAATTACTTCCAGTTAATTCCCGATGTCCAAAGTCCCAGATAATAGACATGCGGCATCTAATTTTTTTCTTAAGCAACATAGTCAAGCCACATGTAGATTCATTCCTAGCCTATACCTTAATTACAAGAGTACACTAAGGTTTTCCTATGGAATAAAGTCTATAGGGAGGAATTCACGTTACCTCCCGGTAATAGCTTTACCTGGATTGAACCCTGAGTACTGTATGTTCGTGGGAATATTCACATCATCTGTAACTTCAGAAACCGTGGCTACCAGTTGCTCGCCACTGATGCTGGTTATCCTAAATTTCTTTGGAAATTTTATCTCTCCTAAGCCGTTGATGGTAAAATAGTTATCTGCCGTTCGTTTCATACAAACCCACTTGTTATTGTGCTCGATCTCCATACCAACAGTTACCACCCTAATAAGTCCGATTATAAAAAGAAAAAATAAATTAAAAAAAAAAAACTGAAGAAGCAGGGAAGAGAAGGTCTTAAAACAGTCATTGATTTATACATGTATGTTTATCTAATCCATAGAGCAATTTTAAAATTGGTTCAGTTCGTTGAAAATCATTTCAATTCAGCAAGTTTTCGGCTGTAGTTAAAAGCTGCGATTAATAGATATAAAAATGTACTTATGACGTTGGTTTTTGGTGTTTTAAAATAGTTTGTTTTTGTCAACTGCATGAGTTGGCCACCGTAAAGAATTTTTTAAAGCTGAAGTTTCGAGCGAAAGCCTTTGGCCAGAACGAATAGCTCATCATCAGACGAATGGCTAACGCGCAAAACTTCAGCTGTAGAGACTGTTTACGGTGGCCAATTCAGCAATTCAGTAGATAAAACCAAATTATCTTATTATAAACCCCACTGACGCAGCACCACAGTTTTTGTTGAAACTTACTCCCTTTACTCATTGATGGGTATTTTAGTCA